AAGATACCTCCCAAATACTCCACCGCAGCAAAGATACCTCCCAAATACTCCACCGCAGCAAAGATACCTCCCAAATACTCCACCGCAGCAAAGATGCCGCCCAAACCCTGAGTCCCATCCTGCCTCCCATCCTTAAGGCCTTTCCCCTGGACTCAGAATCACTCTCCATCAGTCTATTCCTGCTTTACTTCTTGGCCCTCTCAGTATTCACACAGAGGAGGCTGCCATCACCCTGGCCTCTGGCCCCTTGATCTGCTCTTCTCTACGAAGAGCCACTCACTCCCATGGTCATTACCAATGCCGGCAGCTCCTCTTTCAACCAACATCTCAACCCCATGCCCCTCAGCCCCTGACCGCCAGCCCGAAGTATCAGCCGGGAACTGACTGCAGCTGTCCCCTTGCCCCATCGGGACCTCTGACCTGTTGCCCCCACAGTCTTTATGATGTCCCTTAGCCCCTTGGTGCTCTCACGTCCCCAGTCACCCAGCTTGAACGTCATGCTTGGTTATGATCATTGTTCCTGTGCACTCACCTCCTGCCCCTCTCTCACGTTCTCGTCTCTGGACAAAACCACAACTCTGGTTAAATCCCAAGCTCTGTTTGTTCCATAGCTGCGTCCACGCGGCTGAACGTGGCTGGAGAACACACCAACCACCAACCTCAAGTGGGCGCTGCGTGCTGCCCCGGAATTGCCCTCTAGCGCCCTAGGTCTCAGGGGCCCTTTCAAGCCTTCTCTCACCTCCAGCCTTCCCTGTCCCCCACCCGGCCCCAGCCTCCTGCCAGTCCCCCGACGAGGCCACTCTCGAGCCCCCTCCCTGACATGCGCTTACCCTGCACACCTTCCTGCTCCCCCACTTATGCAGATGCACTACCCACTCTCCTACCTCGAGTCAGTTCATCCCTGTGGGCACTAACGCCCATCAAATCTCGCCTGCCTAAGGACACAGCCCCTTCATCCAATGGCCACTGTACTAGACCATTCCCATCAGTGTACAAACATCTGTTATTGACAGAACCTTTAAAAAGAATAAACCAGAAGAACCTCTTGACCCCATCCCCTCGTTTTCTCATCCTGTCCTTTGCACACATGACCTTCATTTCTGCCTTACGCCTACTCCGACACGCGCACGCTGAACCTGCTCTTGCCGAGGTCCCCGACGCCCGTGTTGCTGCATTCGTGCACACTCTCAGCCTCCCCCTACGTCTGCCTCTGGGTGCTTTGGCAAAGCTGCCCCCCCCTTCTCCTTGGTTCCCTTTCTTCGCTTGGCTTCCTGGTCACCCCCCTCTTGGCTTTCCTCCCAGCTCACTGTTCCCAGCTTCTTCTCCGGGGGCTATCTCTTTCTCTTACCCCCACGCTCCAGCGTTCACTCCCTGGTGCTCTTGTTCATCTGCACTCAGCCCCTCAGCGGTCACCAGCAGATTCACGGTTTCAAATACCATCTAGACGCTGCAGACACCTCTCTTCGATTCCAGACTCACCTAGCCCCCAAACCTCCTTGGTATCTCCACTTGGATGTGCATTAAACACCTTACACTCGGGCCCATGAGTGAACATCTGATCTTCCCCCTCAAAACCTACTTCACTCTCGGCCTTCTCCATCCTGGCTGATGGCAATGCCATCTTTCCTCTTCCTCCAGCCATAAATGCCGGAAGCATCTTTGACACTGCTCTTTCTCATATGTTATTGTCTCTTTCTCTAATCTATCAAGAAATCCTGTTGGAACTACTTCAGAAATATAATCAAATTTTGATCACTTCTTTCTGCCCCCACCGATGCCACCCGGGGCTCAGCTACCAGTATCTCTCCCCTCTAAACTGGAAGCCCTCCTTCTATATTAGCCCCTCACTCCCACCCCTGCCGAGAGTCTATTCTCCACAGAGCATCTTCAATGATCCTATTAAAACCAAAGTCAGATTCTGTCACTCCTTTGCTCAAAACCCTCTGATGGCTCCATTCAGAGTAAAAGCCAAAGTCCCTCCAATGATCTAAAAGCCCACGTGATCTGCCCACACCACCCGTTACCTTCCATCACTGCATCTCATCTCCCACCCATCTCCCCTCACTCGCTCTACTCCAGCCACACTGGTCTCCTTACTGTTCCTGGAATATACCAGCGTGCTCCCACCGACGTGGGCCTTTGCACATGCTGTTCCCTCTGCTTGTCATAATCTTCCCTTATGTACTGGCAATACTTGCTCCTTTTTCTGCCTCCCACCTCTGCTCAAACTCTCAACAAGACTACCTTGCGCTCTCAATTTAATTCTGCCACATGCCCCACCCCTTCCCTGAGAAGCCCCTACACCCGCAATATCCTTTACCCTACTGGATTTTTTCTTCTTTCCATAGTAACTGATCGATTACCTTCTAACATAATAGAAATTTTATTTAGATATTATGTCTGCCCCTGCTGCCAGAACATAAACTCCCAGAAAGGAAGGATCGTTATCTATTTTGATCACAGATGTACTCCAGGTATCTGGAACAGTGCGAGACACATACTAAGGGCTCAGTAAGTATTTATTGAATGAATGAATAAAATATGAGAGGTGATGGCAAACATATTTCCTGTGTTTACAGTGTTGACACTGCATGGGGGGGGTGTGATGGGGAAAGCAGGCAAGGCAACAGAGAGGTAAGAAGACCCAGCAGGAAGTGGCTCTCACCATTCCTCCCATGATCTCCCACCCCTCTTCCCTCACACACAATACCCCAACCATACTGGCCATGTTTTTAATTCCTTGAGCTCTCCCAGTTCCTTCCTACCTCAGGACCTTTGCATAAACTGTTCTCCCTGTCCAGACCATTCTTTCCACCTTCATTTAGCTAATTCCTGCTTTGTTGTTAAGTCTTAGCTTAAATGCCAGTATTATTATGTCTCAGAGCTTGGCACAGAGCAAGTGCCCACTGGAGATATATGTTTCAATACACGTTTTTAAAAATACAGTTATTACCCCATTTTACAGGTGAGAAAACTACAGTGCAGAAAGGTTACAACTTTTGCCCAAGGACTCATGACTAATAGTTATTTGTAGAAATAATAAATATGTTGATTAAATAATAGAATTGGAGTTTGAAAGCAGTGACTTTGCTGATTTCTGATATGAAGATAAGACTTCCCTGTGGGGAAAAAAAAACGTTCTTTTTAAAATATTTGTCTTATTTTATTTTTTTAAGTAAGCTCTATGCCCAACGTGGGGCTAGAACTCATGACCCTGAGATCAAGAGTCACATGCTCTGCTGACTGAGCCAGCCAGGTGCCCCTAAAAAAATATGTTCTGCGGTGACTGTATGGACTATCTTCAGCTGTAAGATCAAGCCATGCTTCCTTCATGAAGTTTTCCCTCACTGAGATCTACGTGTTTAATAAAATTCTTACCCAAAGCAAGAACTCACTCCACAATGCTCCAGTCTCTACTATCATTATCTCTTCTTCTTCTTTTTTTTTTGAGGTAAAATATGCAAACATTTACTGAGATATGTAACTACAAATATAGATGTTAAAATAATTTAATACAATACTGTAAAATATTCTATGCAAATAATTTTGAAATTCATAAAGAGAAAGAAAATGTCTTTTTTAATTTAAATTCAATTAATTAACATATAATGTATTACTGGCTTCAGAGGTAGAGGTCAGTGACTCATCAGTCTTATATAACACCCAGCGCTCATTACATCACATGCCTTCCTTAATGCCCATCACCCAGTTACCCCATCCCCCCACACTCCTCCCCTCCAGCAACCTGAGTGTTGCTATCATACCTCTTCTACTGAGGAACTCACTACTAGAAAATAAAAAGCCCTCGCTTTTCAGGACTATAAACAGACAATTCACATAAATTATGCAAATGCTCAAAATAATCCATAAAGAGACATCTCACCTTACTAACCATGGAAGAAATACAATACAAGGAGACATATTTAGTTTCTCAGTTAAGCAAAAGTGGAAACTGATAAGAACCTTCTGAAGGGCAATTTAGCAACATGTATCAAAATTTCAAATATATATTCCTTTTTACTTCTGGCAATCTACCCTGAGGGAAAAATAGCACAAGTGTGTTCTTGACAGTTTTGTCTACATTTACAAATTCTGTTCCCAACAATAGAGAACTGGCTAAATAAAAATTGGGTCAGCTATACAAAGGAATATCATACAGTAGTTAAAAATGATACAATACAGCTATTCCTGGTTGTTTGCATGGAAGAGGATTGGGTTGCTGGAGTCAGAATTGAGGAGGACTTTTTTTTGTGCATACTTATTCATATCTGTTTGTAGTTTTTATTTTTGTGAATGCATTTAATACTCAAAATAGCAAATAAAATTTAAAATATTTGTAAAGCGGGGCACCTAGGTGGCTCAGTCGGTTAAGTGTCTGCCTTCCGCTCAGGTCATGATCCCAGGGTCCTGGGATCCAGCCCTGCATCGGGCTCCCTGCTCAGCAGAGAGCCTGTTTCTCCCTCTCCCTCTGCTGCTCCCCCTGCTTGTGCTCTCTCTCCCTCTCTCTCTCTCTCTCTCTGTCAAGTAAATAAATAAAGTCTTTTTAAAAAATAAAATAAAATATTGTGAAGAAATGTTGAAGATCTCTACTAGTTGTTTGGGAAGATGTCCACAACGTTGAGTAAAAGAAAGTTACCAAATGACATACAGAATACAATTTCATTTACCTAAGACTGTGTATTATATAATAAAAATATTGGCATAGATAATAGAAAGTTATTTCTCGAATGATGCTCCACCTTGATAATGATAATTTGATAATGGCGGTATTAGGAGAAAGTATGTAGAGACAATTTTTACTTTTTTGTCCATGCTTTTCTTTATTGTGTAGATTGTTTATATTGAGCACGGATTTTTTTTAAACCATCAAGCAAAGATACTGTAAGGTTATTCTCTTTTAAAAAAGAGGATGTGCCTCTTCTGTATGTATTTGCGTAGATTATGTTTGGAAAGGACATACACCAAGGTGTTAATTGTGGGGGTAAGACTGTCATTTCGTTTTTCTCTTTTGTTCTCCTTTCTGAATGTTTCTATTTTATGGGTTTTCTGTAATTAATTACCTTTGTAAAGGGGAAAAGAAGCACTACTTTTTAAAAAAGTTCTTCCCTAAATTGAACTTAAAGCTATTCAGTGGCACCAATTCTAGAGAAGAAAGGGCTCTATGTTACTCTGTATAATCGCTCATTTTGTTCAAAAACGTTCATATACATATGTAATATATACAGTCCATTACATGGGCTCTCTATATAAATGTGTGTATGTGTATATACATTTATACATACACACACACACACACACATATGTACACACATTCATACACATACACAAACACACACGACCTACTTCTCGGCCCTTCCCCATATTTCCATCTATACATTATCCCAACCCTTCAAGGTCCTTCAATATTAGAGGGATATATGGAAGTGGCTGTTAAACATATAGGCTTTGAAGTCAGAATTCCAAATCAGCCACAAATGAGTGATTTCAGTTAACATGCCTTATCTGTAAAAAGGGAAATCAAAACAGTTATCTATTTGATAATTTTGTAAGGATCAAACGAAACAATCCATATAAATTGCTCGGCCTAAGCTAGTATATAACAAATATTGAATAATTTGTTCTTATTTTGCCCAGTACATAGTAGGCCAGTCTGTGATGATCGCGGTTGTTGTTGTTATTGCCCTCCGAGCCATGAGGAGCGCTGTCGCCTTCGGGCTGACCAGGCCCGGGGTCAGGATATAGGAAGTCCGTCTAGCCGCGGCGCCCCGCCATCTTTGCACACTGGCCCGCCTCACTCAGTTGATGTAGCTGCTTCGTGCAGTCTCAGAGGCCGACCCGCTCGCAGCGACACCCTGCCCCTTGCCTTCTTTGGTGCTCTCTTAAGCAAACCGCCTTTACCGAGGGCGAATCTTCAACTCCCTAGAAACACTAAAGCCGGCATCTTCCGGGAGCCGCCCTCGTTCCGTGACCTCAGGCGTACACTTCCGGGGACGCGGACGTGACCCGTCGCCCCGCCCACTCCCGCTCTCTTTTTCCGGTAGCGGAGTCTGGAGAAGACACGCAGGTAGGAGGCCTGGGCGAGGACAATCGAGTGGCATCCTGGGACAGGGGGCACTCACCGGGGCCGCGGTCGCGGGACTGGGGTGTTTCTGTGGAAGCTGAGCCAGGTGCGGGCGGGACGGGCGCGGCCGGCCGACCCCAGACTCAGGGTCGCGCCTTGTCTCGGAAGGTGGCCGTCTTCTCTGCAGGAGGAGCTTGTGAAGTGGGGGTGAGTGCGGCTACAGCCCTGAAGGCCCGGGCTCCGCGCTGCCGCCACCGCTACGTGTAAGGCGCCGCACAGCGTGGTTGAGAAGGAGCGGGGACCCTACTCAGTAGTGGCCTCTCACTTCTACTCTGCCAACCTCTTGGGCGGTCGCACGCCCGGTCCCTAAGCCCTAGTTCGTGTCCTTGTTTGGGAGATAGGATTGACTCGCCCCGATCCCATAGAGTTGTAGTGAGGATTCAAGGAGGGAATCAGGAGAAACGGCGCTGTGTTGGGTGCTCCCTAAGTCTGGGTGATTGCTAAGTTTGGCACGTTGCAAGTACTGGACGCTTAGGGCGCGCCGCACGAAGCCAGAAGTCGGGGCTAGGGAATGTGCATCAGTGTTTGCTGAGCACCTGCTGTGCGCTTATAATTTATTCTCCAAGGACCATTGTCATCACCACTTACGGGCGACACGGGGTGGGGAAACTGCACATGGGCATTTGTTGAGTGGCCACTACAGGCATTTGTATTCGTGCTTCCTTAGTTCACATCTGCTGGGGTCTTTCTGGGCTTCTCCAGGCAGAACTCAAAGCTGCTCTTCCTGTGAGCTCCCTTGGCACCTCCTTGCAATTCTTACTCTGTTGGATTTAATTAAAGCGTAGGAGCAGTTAACTTTGTACACCCAAGGCCTGCACTTGTAGGGCTTACTGTGATCACTCACTAGACCTTATATAAGGAAGGCACTGGGGAGATCCCGGGAATGCAGGAGACGTGAACTTATCCAGGTCTGGAATTGTGGTTATTCGTGGAATAGAGGCATCTTGATACAGGGTAGAGAATGCTGGACTGGGGGTTGGGACACTGGTTTTTAGGTTTGGTTTTGCCACTGTCTTTACAAACCTAGGCAAGGCTGTGTTTGTCTTCCTCTGGAAGGGTACAGCCTAAGTCATCTGAGCCCTTCTTATTTCTAGTGTCTTCTGAAAGTGTTAGGAAGTTGTTCCGATTCTTGAGTCTCAGGAGGCCTGGGGCTTCGGTCAGAAAGTAGGTCCTCTCTTAGCCTTCGTATTATCCTCACCTGCTTTTCTCCTCTTAGCATCTCCCTCCCCTAGGGTCTGTGACAGTTAAATTCCATTACATGCTATGTCATATTAGAGTTACCTGGTTTCACTAACATTGAATTTTGGGGATGGGGCTTTTAGCCTTCCAAGAAGATAATGTTTTCCTGCCTTTAATGCTTGATTCTAGTAAAAGTTTAACAATTTGGTTTTAATCAGTTGTGGAAGGATAGCAAGAGATCACTTGTCAGAGAATAAGAGAGAGCATTTAAACTGGCTTTTGGAGGGATCTGGTAGAGCACAGGCTATAGTAGATGAAGCTAGAGGGTATGTGGGTAAGGGTTCCTTGAATTCTAAGCCAAGGGATTGGTGCAGAGTTCAGGCAGCAGGTGCCTTCCATAAAGGGTCTTCAGGTGTCACCAATTCATGGGTAGGTTATTGACCTTGGCTTTGTACTAACCTTTTTGGATGTGGTCTTAAAGTCTTCTTTGAGCCTAACCTGTACATGGTACTTGGGGGCCAGGAAACCAGAAGCACTCCTGGCATTGGAAGTATTGTGATATGTAGACCAGGAATCTCTTAACTTGGTTTTCATTTCTGCTCTTCAACTGACTTGCTCTGTCACCGTAAACAAATCGTCAAAAGTTTCTCAGGATATATATTGGAGGCAGTAAGGCTCAGGGATAACGGATTTGCCCGGGTTTGCAGAGCTGTCAGTTGAACTTGGAGGTCTCCAGAGACCTAAGCCAGTGTGTTTAAGTTTTTGAGGCCCACTTGGTAAAAAATTGAGGGATACTTATGATCTGCTTAGAACTCTAGGCTCCTTTCCTATAAGTGCTATGGGCTGTGCTTTTGGTAGATTCAGGAGAAAGGTTATCTCAAGGTACTTTGCATTTTTAGCCATAAATTAAAAGCCCCCAAATGCAGGGAGAAATGAGTTTTAGACAGAAATGAGGTTTCACAGACTAGGGTGGAGGGAAGCAGGACACAGAGGAGCAAAACTTGGGAGATTTCCTTCAATAGCCAGGAAGAAAGGGTTGTGGAAACCTTGTCCATTGCTAATGTTGGATTCTTTTCCTTCTTTTAGAAATGGCACCTCGCAAGGGGAAGGAAAAGAAGGAAGAACAGGTCATCAGCCTTGGACCTCAGGTAGCTGAAGGAGAAAATGTGTTTGGTGTCTGCCACATCTTTGCATCCTTCAATGACACTTTTGTCCATGTCACCGATCTTTCTGGCAAGTGAGTACCTGGGTGAAGAGGCACAGACCAAACTGGCAAGGGTCTAGGGGAAGAAATGCCCCTGAAACTGGGTGGCAGTTTAAGGGGTTCTTGTGAAAGAATTAAAAAGAATGTTCAGATAAGGAAATGCATTTGGCTGTTTGGCCACAAATACTGTGATTTCCCAGGCACTTGGGTTACGAGAAAGAAAGAGACGTCCTCTGCCCTTAATGACCTTAAATTAAAGTGTAATCCTTGAATACTCAATCTCTTGGTACTTTGTAGGAGCAGGGGTGGATAGAAATCCACTCTATGTACAGATTCTGGCTGTAATTAGCAAGTTTCTATGACACGTGAAGTTCACTCAAATACTAAGCTTTGGTTTTTCATATAAGGAGAGGTAATTGTGCCTACCTCATGGAGCGATTGGGAGGATTAAATGCAGAAGTATATTTATATTGTTAATAACGGTGTTCATTAATTTTAGGTCTTTGAACCCCATCAGGGCAGAACCCATGGCCATAGTCTTGTTAAAAAGGATGCATATTCAAGTTGACCTTCATCCTCTGCCATACCCGAACTGTGGCAGTCTGTACTCCGTAGGGATGTGATAAGCACTCAGAATTCTTGATGGATGAGAGAAATGACTGCGCTTTTGTTCCCAGGGAAACCATCTGTCGCGTGACTGGTGGAATGAAGGTGAAGGCTGACCGAGATGAGTCCTCTCCCTATGCTGCCATGTTGGCTGCCCAGGATGTAGCCCAGAGGTGCAAGGAGCTGGGCATCACTGCCCTCCACATCAAACTACGAGCCACAGGAGGAAATAGGTACATAAGGCAGGGGCTGGGCGGTGATATCTCTGGGCCTGGGTGCCAGAGCACCTGGATTTGAGGCTTGGTTTTTCTCTTGTAACTTTGCACAAGACATCATAAGTGTGTTCGTATTTAGTAGTTGGTTGCTGCACCACTGCTTCTACTCCTCCCACCGCCCAACTTACTGTTTATTGAGCACTCAACTGTAGACCAGGTACTAGAAAAGAATGATTGAAAAGGGTAGTTACAGCCTCTACTCTTCCTGTGCAGGTAGAAGAGGCTGACTTTAAACAGCCTGACTAGGGGAACATGTGCCTTCCATTTGTGGCAAGTGCTGGGAAGTAAGAAGTACAGTGTGAGGGATGGCAGTTAATGATAAAGTGTAATGTCAGCTAAGACCTAAATGTTGTGCCAGGAATTGGTCCAGTGAGGGAAGGGCAGGGAGAGAATATTCCAGCCAGATACAACTGCAGGGAAAAGGTCTTGAGTGGGAATGAACTTGACACATCTATGGGAAAGAGTTGCATGAGGTATGAGCAGAGATTGGAGCAAGTTCCTGCTAGGTCTTAAAGGAAGCAGTAAGGATTTGGACTTTAGCCAAAGAGGGTGGGGGGAGCATAAGAACTTTTTAATAGTAATGACCGATGAGATTGGAGTCTTGTTTTTGTGAGAGAGAATGTATGTGGGCGGGATGCGGTACAGAGGGAGAGAGAATCTTAAGCAGACTCCATTGCTCAGCGCGACCCTGAGATTGTGACCTGAGTTGACATTGAGTTGGACCCTTAACTGCCCGAGCCACCCAGGTGCTCCAGAGATGGGGGATTTTTCTTTATTTTAAAGATTTTATTTATTTATTTGACAGCGAGTGAGAGCAGGAGCACAAGCAGGGGGAGTGGGAGAGGGAGAAGCAGGCTTCCCACTGAGCAGGGAGCCCGATGCGGGGCTTGATCCCAGGACTCTGGGATCATGACCTGAGCCGAAGGCAGGCGCTTAATGACTGAGCCATCCAGGCGCCCCCTAGGGGGATTTTTTTTTTTTTTTTTCTTTTTTAAAGATGACTCCTGCTTCAGGGCACCTGGCTGGCTCAGTTGATAGAGCATGAAACTCTTGACCTCTGGGTCATGAGTTTAGGCCTACTTTGGGCATAGAGCTTACATTAAAAAAAAAAAAACAAAACTGACTGCTGTGTGGGCAGCAGACCAGAGAAAGTCGTCCTCTGGAGAGATGCTAGTGTCTTGGTTTTGGGTGGGGAAGCAGCTGGAAATGGATTGCCAAAAAAAAAAAAAATTACAGCCTTTGGCAAGAAGGACAGTTCCTTAAATGGGCTGCAGGCAGAGCAGAGCACAGACTGACGTATGGGCCAGAAAGTATGCAACAAAAACCATACGTGGCCCACTAAGCCTTAAATATTTATTGTTTGGCCCTTTACAAAAAGTTGCAGATTCCTGAACTAGAGGGTTGTGGGATCTAGAAGGAACCTCTAATGAGTTGGACAAAGCTTTTCTTCATGTAGATCTTACTTCCCTAGAACCAAGACCCCTGGACCTGGGGCCCAGTCAGCCCTCAGAGCCCTTGCCCGCTCAGGAATGAAGATCGGGCGGATTGGTAAGTGCTTCCCTCTAGCTAGCACTTGGATTTGCTTTGAAGCATTGACCCCAGAAAGTTTGTGTTGTACCCAGTGGGATGCAGTGCCTGGTCTGGGGACTATTGGCAGTTAGGGTGCCACAGTTAATGGGGGTTGCAAGAGGCATCATATGACAGAATTTCCTCCCTGAGCACCCCTGTCAGAGATGAAATGTCTCTCTTCTTCAGTGTTTCTTATGGGAGTTGGCATTTTATGTGGTCTGTCTCCTGAATTGTAAGACCATCCACATCCTTGGTTCTTTCCTACTAAGCATTAGAGCATGCCAGTCATTGTAACAGTGGAAAATGAACGCAGGGAGCAGCACCTCCCATGGTTGAGAATCACAGCGAGTCACCTACATCTGTGTGTTGCCTGCCCCCTTACGCCTGTGATCTCCTGGCCTCGTAGAGCACTTAAGAAGGTGTTAGCCCTTCCCTGTTTTCTGTACACATGGTAGCATCATATACTGATTGGTCTAGTTAGTGGTTCAGCCTATTACCTTTTGGAAAGGAGGTAGTTTTAAGTTGCCCCTGTTTAGAAGAATCTTTCCACTAGAGAGTCCCCGGGCTGGGTGTCAGAAACCTGATAATTTCACCTCCTTCTGACATTGTAAGTTGAGTGCCTTTTCTGACCCTCAGTTTCCCTTCAGAAAAGTGAGTTGAGACCACATCAGAAATTTTGAGGAAGCAGCAGATGGGGCAGTCCGTGTCCATGTGTTATATACTTGAGGATTCACGTGGGGAGCAGCGGGATTCACTGTTGGTCTGTTAGACCACTGGTCTAGGGAGGCCTGGACTCTTTCCCATCCATCTATAGGCAATGATGTTTTCTCTTCCTCCCCACAGAGGATGTCACCCCCATCCCCTCTGATAGCACCCGCAGGAAGGGGGGTCGCCGTGGTCGCCGTCTGTGAACAGGATTCCTCAAATTACTGTTTTCTGTTAATAAATTGGCTTTGTGTGAGCTATTTTGACTCCAGTCTTCTCTCCTTCAGGGGTATTTGTTTCTTTCCTCCTAGAAATTTGACCAGGGCATGAGACTGACTCGCGGTCACAGGTGCAGGACAAAGCAGGAGGCATTTCAGTAGATCTTTTACTTCAGAGGATGTAGGTAACTTGCCAAACAGGAACACAGGAGGGATTGGTTAGGCCCCTGACATGCGTCGGGGTGAGCCTATGTTCTGTGAAGTGACTTCCTGGGAGGAGTAGCCTAAGGAGAGGTGAGGTACCTGTGCTGCATTTGGGTCTTTTCCACACTGCTTGTTGTGGCCATCATCTAAAGCCCACCAAGGCCTTAGAGACCTTGTTTTGAAAGCGGAGACGTTGGTTCCAAAAATGGACTAAATCTTAAAAGAGCCGGAGCAGAGTGGAAACTGTTGAGCCAAGTGTAGTCTGAGCAGAAGAGGAGCCTTTCAGACTTGAGCCATATATAAACACATGTGGGTGTATACTCGCCCCCCACACCTTCTGTGCAAAATTGGGAGCACACTCTACTGCATCTTGCTTGTTCTCACTTGGCAGATCTTGGAGATTGTTCCACATCAGTACATAAAGTACATAGAGATTCGGTCACCCCACAAATAACACACCAAGCCCTATTTTCATCAGTGATAAAAAAAAAGTTTTTGCTCTCCGGAAGCTTGTCTCCACCTCCGAGGACCCAGTGGCACCAGATGGTACAGAGTGTTCTGCAAGAAAGTACCATAGGCCCAGGGATGGTGGCTGCTACACTGTTGGGTGGCTAATAAAGTAAGCTAGAGAGAAGAAGATGTTATTAACGTTCTAAGGAAGAGAAAAAACATTTACAGTACTCTGCTGTATTTATCGAAAAAATCCACATGTATTGAATTACTCACAGTTCAAATCTATGCTGTTAAAGGGGCAACTATAGTCATTCAAGGTGATGGGAGCACTCAACTCTGTGATACTCTTTAAAAACCTGTAACACACTTAGAGGACATTCTGCAAAATACTGGTGCTTAAGTCATCAAAAGTGATGAAAAACAAGGACAGAAGACCAGAGGAGATTATGGAGACAACTTAAAATACAGCGTTGGATCCTGAATCAGAAGGAGGGCGTTGGTTTGAAAACTGGTAAAATCCGAAAAAGGCCTGAAGTTCAATTAATCTACCAACATTAGTTTCTTAATTTTGACAAACGTTCTGTGGTTGTATAAGATGTTAACATTAGGGAAAGCTGGTTGAGTGGTATACAGAAAAGCCGTATGATTTTTGCAACTTTCTGGTGAATCTAAACGCGAAGTAAAAATGTGAGGGGGCAAAAAAAACTTACGGTCAGCCTGGTTTCTGAGGCAGGATGTGTACAGACCCTCAGGTAAACAGGCCTGGATGAAAATGCCTAGTTCCCCAGCTTCAGACTAGCTTTAAGCAAGTAAGCACTCAGCCATTGAGTGCAAATTCCTGTGATAATGGCTGCTTCATAGGGTGTCGTAAGAAATAAGATTAAAGTGTTCAGCACAGTGCCTGGCTCTGAAGAAGCTGTTGCTATTCTTAATGCCTGTTGAGTTCTTATGCCAAGGAATGAATGACAGCTGGCTGGAATCCTGGTGGAAAAATGCTGGCAGTTGCTAGAGCATTCTTTATTTCCTGTGATGGGACTTTGCAACTTGTCCTGCTGTTTCCTGGTAACCAGGGATGCAATCAGCCAGGTCTTTGAAAGCAGTTCCTCTCAGAGGTTGGTTTGCAAGGAGAGCCAACTTGCACAGCTTGCGTTGGAACGGAGCAGTCTGTCGGCCACAGGCATGCAGGGCAGAACTGGATTAGCTGTTGCCCACCTGTGACACGGACCATGGGAGCCCAGCCTTGGCAGGTGAGCCTGATGCCATGGGCTACAGCTGCAACCCCAACCAGGCCCCTAGAAATGGTCCCTACTGCCCTCCTGCCTCCCTTCTCTGACCTGAGCCCTGCAGGTCTCCTAAACAAGCCTCCCTGTCTCCCCACTGGCCCCTGCCTAGCCCTAGGCCACATGTTTTGTTACCTGGTCCTGCCACACACTTCACCCTCTCCTGCCCAAGCCAAACCTACTTCCTTTCACTTTTCAATTCTCTGGGCCTTCAGTCTTCTGCTCATGTCCCCTCCCAGCTTGGCTCCGTCAGCATCTTCTCTCCCCCACTCCACCTCACTATCTTCTGCTCATCTGTTAGAATCAATTCTTAATCCCTCTCAAAGTCACCCTCCTGGGTGCCTCTCAAAGTGCCTCACTGAATTCCTACGTCACCCCTACTTCCCATGTGCCATCACTGCCCCCTGTATTCTAATAGCCTATTTTCCCTACTAATTTGTGAGCTCTGAGAGGGCAAGTGGGTCTTGTTCAGTGTTTCTCAGCCCAGTCTCCAAAGTATGGGCTCAATAATGATTTGTTTAATGAATCACTGAAAGAATAGGTGAGTGGGCTTCCCCCTTCTGTAAACTAAATAGGTTCTATAAACTAGATGGTTTATTTTTTTTAATACATTTTTTTTAAAGATTTATTTATTTATTTTGAGAGAGTGAGAGAGAGAGGGAGAGAGAGGAGGGCCAGAGGGAGAAGCAGGTTCCTCGCTAAGCAGGGAGCCTGATGTGGGACTCGATCCCAGGACTCCAGGATCATGACCTGAGCCGAAGGCAGTTGCTTAACCAACTTAGCCACCCAGGCGCCCTTTTATAAATAAAATTTTTGAAGATTTATTTTAGGGAGAGTGCATGGGTGAGTGGTGGGGGAGCAGCAGAGAGATTCTCAAGCTGACTTTGCACTGAGCGTGAAGCCTGACGCAGGGCTCAATCCCACGATCCTTAGATGACCTGAGCCGAAACCAAGAGTCTAACTCAACTGACTAAGCCACCCAGGTGCCCCTAAACTAGATAGTTTAAAGAGCCTTGGTAGATCCTCGATAAATTAAAACAAACACGTGTTCCTGTGCTTCAAAGAAATTAAGGAAATCCCCAAGGGCATTCAAGAAATGAGGGGGGAAAGTTCATCAAGAAGAAATGGATTAGGGAACACAGCTGTAGGCAAAGAAAGTTGGGGTAGCCCTCCTGGCAAATAACCAAGTCAGTGCCAGGAAGTTAAGTTCAGGCTCTGCCTTTACCTCTATTGGTTCCAACGTGAGGGAGCTGAGCTTGACCTTTACGATAATTAGCCAGAAGTCCTCAGATTTCTGGGCAATATGGTCCTAAGTAGGACTGTTCCCGGGCTCTTGGCAAAAGTAAAAGCAAATCCTCTGGAAAGAACCACAATTGAGGCCCTCTGGTTTCCCACAGATGAGGTTCAACCAAGTAGGAACCCCCCCAAAATACCAACGCATGAAAATAGGCACCAAATGAGAGTCAACAGAAAGTTTTTTATATACCTCAAAGACTTGATACTGGAATTAAAATATAACCTCAAATGAAATGTTTAAAGAAACAATGGAACAAAAAAGTAGGCAAAATATTTGTAATCAGATCACTTTGAAAAGGAAGCAAAGAAAACAATACAGTAATTGAAATTAAATACTCAGTGGATGGGTTCAATGGCGGATTAGAGCCAACAGAAGAAAGAATTGCTGAACTACAATGTCTGAAGAAATGACAAAACAGAGAAGTCCAATGGGATTGGAACTGAATATATTCCTGCACTGCTCCCTTCCTGTTCTGCCTGAGTGAGGGCATTAGCCTTCCAGTTAGCCTTCATTGACCTGGGTGATGATGTGGCTCCCTGTTATCTAGGAGTTTACTTTGAAGGTCATTTTCAATCTCTTAATGCAGAATCAGGAAAACCTTTCCCAAGACATGGCTTCAGGGAAGCCATTGACCTTTAGTGGTCCAAAGAGAAGATGGATAAGGGACTTAAAATTGGTCAGTTCTGTCTTGGGGAGGAAGGGGCAAGCAGTCTTGTTGCATGTAGTCCTAAGGTGGTAGGATTTGGCCATTGGATAGGAGTTGTGGAGAGGTAGACTTGAGTTATCAAAGAGTTTTCTAAAAGAGCTGATCAAAGGGAATACAGCTGCTTAATGAGATAGGAATCTCCCCATCATTGGAGGCATACAAGCATAAACAGACTGTCAAAGGCTAGTTACATTAGAATCTCTCAGTGTGGCAGAGACCATTGTTTCCCAATACACTTCTTCATTTTCTCTTGTAAAAAGGAGTCTCAGTTTTTAGCTGGATGTATGGCTGCTCAGAATAAAGACTCCTCAGTGGCGCCTGGGTGGCTCAGTTGGTTAAGCATCTGACTCCTGATTTTGGGGTTGTGAGTTCAAACCCCACACTGGACTCCATGCTGGGCATGGAACCTACTTTATTTATTTATTTTTAAAGATTTTATTTATTTATTTGACAGAAACAGAGACAGCGAGAGCAGGAACACAAGCAGGGGGAGTGGGAGAGGGAGAAGCAAGCCTCCTGTGGAGCAGGGAGCCCGATGTGGGACTCGATCCCAGGACCCTGAGACCATGACCTGAGCCGAAGGCAGACGCTTAACGACTGAGCCACCCAGGCGCCGGGAACCTACTTTAAAAAAAACAAAAATAGACTCCTTAGGCAGTTAAGTGTGGCCCATATGACTAAGTTGTGGGCAATGAGATGTAAGCAGAATTTGTGTATGCAATTTGCAGGAAGTATCTTTTGGAATTATTAACTATAGTCCACTATATTATATCCCCAAGACTTCTTATAAATATAGGAAGTGTCTTGAACAGAAAAAGGCATACCCTTTTAACCTTTCCTCTAGATAATTGCTTTCAGATCTCTGCTGGAACCTGTCACCTTATCCAGACAGGTTCTCCCTGACCATCACAGATGAATTAATGTTCCCCACCTACCCCCCCACCCAGCCGTTATTCTCAAGATATTTAACCATTTATTTGCCATATTCATAGCACTTAACTCTACCTGATATATACATCTATATGTCTAAGTCTAGTGGTCTTCAACCTTGAGCATGCATCAGAATCAGTAGATCTGGGATGGAGGCCTAAAGTTTTTCATT